CCCTAATCCTCCATTCACCACCTAGAGGAAAATCCTATCCCTCCTTAAAGATTCACTTCAAATGATTCTTCGCCAGTGAAGGCTTCCCTGACTATTCCTCATCTCCTCTACCTCTCAACCCCAAACACATATGTCCAGACCCATTACAGAGATTTCATTACTCCTTCCCTGTTCCCATAGCACTTTCCTCATAGTTTTTTTACAGTACTTATTATAATGATTTGTATTTAGTTGTTTATATGTCATGCCTCTCATTGTATTGTGAGTTCTTCCAGAACAGTAAATGAATTTTGTTCATCTCTATATTCCTAGTCACTAGCACAGAACATGGCATATACTAAGACTCAATAAAAGTTTGGTTTGGGGAGAAGTGAGAGAATAAACAAAGATGAAAATCAAATTCTACATAAAATATTATGAAAACACATAGGAAGGAGTAATTAATTCCAGTGAGGTAGCTTCACAGACAAGGTGGCATTTGAGACGACCCTTGAAAAATGAGTAGGACTTGACAGGTGGAGATGGGTGTTGGGGGAAGGGAGGGTGATGAGAAGGGCATTTAAAGCAGAACTCCTTAAGGATTTAAGAACCGAGTTCGTTGTAGCGAAATAATGCTGTTAATTAGCATGTTCCTTATCTGTTCATTGTAAACAAGCCTAATAGGAACTCTACTTGCTAACATTTTAACAAGCACTGTGAATTAATATATAGTTTGAAAATAGTGGTACTATGTTGTCCTTTAAAAAAACTGATAATTTAGATCATTCTCTCCCCCACCCCCACCAAATTAGTCCAGAGTTTGGCTAAGTACATTGTAAATTCTTAATCTTTGATCTCAAAATTCTTTATTGAGAATAATTCCTAATTCTCTTATATATTTCCCATGCCTGCAGAGCCAGTGAGTAGCCAGACTGTTGCAAAAAATTATTTTTAGCATTGGGGACCAGTCCTTCTAAACCTGTTTCCTCTAAGAGTCATTCTCCAGCCAGCAGAGAAAATCAAAGTGCATACTCAGTAACGTCCTAAAGGTCCCTTCCAGCTATAACATTCTCTAAAACTTGTCTCCCTAGTTGGGGATTGGGAGTCAAGATGAACCTAATAATCATTATATAAACTCTTGACCCAAAGGATATTTGATGCCCCATGTTTGTTTTCTTGATAATATTTACAAGAGGCTATTTCTAGCCTTCTTGTATGCGTTCTCAGAGACCACTGAAAACTGGGTGTGAGGACTAGAGCTCCTACAGACGGAGAAATCACCAGTTCTGAAATGTGACTTCTGACTGCGGTAACAAATGCTTAGGGCCATCAATCACTCTGTGTGTGTGGGGGGGGGTTTATGGAGGGGGAGCATAGGCAATTTCGCAGTATAGGAGAATAATAAAAACTAATATTTCAGAAATAATGTTTTTGGCCATTTGCATTTTCTTGTAATGACCAATCAGTGACCAAAATAGCACTTGTATAAATAACCCAGCCAAGGATCATCCCTCATATTGCCAGGTTGGAAGGATGTGATGGACGGATGTTAGCAAGCTACTATTAGAATAGAGTTGCCTTTGGGGGTGTAATTGGCAGGAGTGCATACTGGGAGGTAGGAGGAAAGCAATGGAAAGTTTTTTTTTAATGGCTATCAGTAGTCAGAGGGAAATTTACCAAAATAAAAGGCTTTTTGTGCTCAGATGACTTACGACTATATCTCTCCCAACTGTGCAATATATACATGCACATGCATGTATAACCTGCTTCAACGTCTTTGCTTATGTCATCCCTGCTCTGGAATGTCTTACCCCCTCTTCCTTACCTATTTAATAACTACCTATAATTCAAGACATACGCTATAGAAATATGGCCCATTCTTTCAAATCCTGTCTTCTCCACAAAGCCTCATTCCTTAAACTTCAATAACATTCCTAGTCTATACTCTGAGTCTTTCATTGTTTCCTAATTGTTTATTTGGAGATACTAAAGCATGGTGCCTAAAAGTACACATCCTGTGTGTCCTTGGACTATATATGTAACCCTTCAAAGCCTCTCATCTATTAAATGGAGATATAAAGAGTCCCTATCTCATAGGGTTGTTTTGAAAGTTAAATGAAAATAATGTATGCCAAGAGCTTTACCTAGCATATGGCAAATGTTCAATAGTTAGTGGTAGTAATGGATGGAGGTGGTGAGAGTAGTGATAATAATCATCATGACCATCATCATCGGTCTCTTCAGTTAGATTGTATAACCTTTGAAGGCAGGGACTATGTCTCCTATCTGCTTGTACTCTGCTATCCTAACCCCCCAAATACTCAATTGGTTAAATTGATGTTTGTTGATCATGTGTCCAACTCAAAAGTACTGCCTCAAAGATATGAAATTCCATCAGGAATATAATTTTTCCTTTTCATTGCTACTATGGAAACCCCTTTTGGATGTTTTTTCTTGGTTTGCATGCATGAGTAGTTTGGATGAAAGCTGCTGAAGTAATCATATGCAACTAGACTATGAGAAGAATGGGAAACATCTTAATCATCCCAAGCTCCTGTGGTGTGTACACTTGAAAAAAAAAAACTCGGAAAACTATAAAATTCTGATGAAAAAAAAGCCAAAGAAGAACTAAATAAATAGATATTTCATGTTCATGGATAGGAAGACTCGATATTGTCAAGATGTCAGTTTTTCCCAACTTGATTCAATCAAAGTCCAAGCAAGTTATTTTGTGGATATAAAAAAAAAAAAACTGATTCTAAACTTTACGGAGAGGCAAAAGACCCAGAGTAGCCAACACAATATTGAAGAAGAAGAACAAAGTTGGAAGGCTGATGCCTCCCAACTTGAAGACTGACTGTAAAGCTATAGTAATCAAGACAGTGTGGTACTGGTGAAAGAATAGACAAATAGATCAATGGAACAGAAGAGAGAGCCCATAAATAGACCCACATAATTAGAGTCAACAGATCTTTGACGAAGTAGCAAAGGCAATACAATGGAGCAAAGATAGTCTCTTCAACAAATGTGCTGGAACAACTGGACAACCACATGCAAAAAAATGAATCTAGACACAGATTTTATACCCATCAAAAAATTAGCTCAGGGCTTCCCTGGTGGCGCAGTGGTTGAGAGTCCACCTGCCGATGCAGGGGACACGGGTTCGTGCCCCAGTCTGGGAAGATCCCACATGCCGCGGAGCGGCTGGGCCCGTGGGCCGTGGCCGCTGAGCCTGCGCGTCCGGAGCTTGTGCGCTGCAACGGGAGAGGCCACGGCAGTGAGAGGCCCACGTACCACCAAAAAAAAAAAATTAGCTCAAAATGGATCATAGACCTAAATGTGAAATACAAAACTGTAAAACTCCTAAAAGACAACATAAGAGAAAACCTAGATGACTTTGGATATGGCAATAACTTTTTAAATATAACACCAAAGTTATGATCCATGAAAGAAAATATTGGTAAACTAGACTTCATTAAAATTAAAAAACTTTGTGAAAGACAATGTCAAGAGAATGAGAAGACAAGACATAGACTTGAAGAAAATATTTACAAAATACACATCTGATAAAGGACTGTTATCTAAAATACACAGAGAACTCTTAAAACTCAATAGTAAAACAAACAACCTGATTGAAAAATGGGCCAGTGACTAATAGACACCTCACCAAAGAAGATATATGGATGGTAAATAAGCATATGAGAAGATGCTCCACATCATATGTCATCAGGGCAATGCAAATTAAAACAACAATGAAATACCACTACAAACCTATTAGAATGACCAAAATCCAGAACACTGACAACACTAAATACTGGTGAGGATGTGGATCAACAGGAGCTCTCATTTACTGGAGGTGGGAATGCAAACTGGTGCAGCCACTTTGGAAGCCAGGTTGACAGCTTCTTACAAAACTAAATATGCTCTTACCATACAATCCAGTGATTGCAGTCCTTGGTATTTACCCAGAGGAACTGAAAACTTATGTTCACACAAAACGTGCACAGAAATGTTTATAGCAGTTTTATTCATAATTGCCAAAACTTTGAAGTAACCACAATGTCCTTCAGTACGTGAAAAGATAAAGTGTGGTATATCCAGACAATGGAGTATTATTCAGCAAAAAAAAAAAAAAAAGGAATGAGCTATGGAGCCATGAAAAGACATGGAGGAAACTTAAATGTATATGACTAAGTGAAAAAAGCCGATCTGAAAAGGCTGCATACTGTATGATTCCAACTATATGACATTCTAGAAAAGGCAAAACTATGGAGACAGTAAAAGATCAGTGGTTGCTGGGGTTGGGGAGGGGAGAAGGATGAATAAGTAGAGCACAAAGGAATTTTAGGGCAGTGAAAATACTCTGTATGATACTACAATGATGGATACATGTCACTATACATTTTTCAAAACCTGTAGAATGTAAAACACCAAAGTGAAACCTAATGTAAACTATGGCTTTTCGATGATTATGATGCATCAGTTGTAACAAATGAACCACTCTGGTGAGAGATGTTGATAATAGGGGAGGCTATGCATGTGGGGGGGGGTGGGTGTATATGTGAAATCTCTGTACTTTCCCCTCAATTTTGCTGTGAACCTAGAACTACTCTAAAAAATAGTTTTCATTGACTTTAAAACAAGGAGAAAGGAAGGAAGGAAGGAAGGAAGGAAGGAAGGAAGGAAGGAAAGGAGGGAGGGAGGAAAGAAGGGAGGGAGGGAGGGAGGAAAGAAAGAAAGAAGGGAGGGAGGGAGGGAGGGGAGTGGGGTGAGAGAGAGAGGGAGAGAGAGAAAGAAAGAAACACTAAAATGCCATCTGGTAAAGGGCTTTCAAATTCTATAACTTCCTGCCAGTTCGAGCTGTATTGTTTTAACCCTTGTAAAGAGCTGAAATTAAGGCTGTGTCCACCACTTGTCCATCAGTCCATTTCTGTAAAGAGTTGCCAGAGTTTACATTGATAAGTGAACTAGATACTGAAACCTTAATACAACAAATTATTTTGCTTGTCATTTCTTCTTAGCTGATAATAGTAGAACTCTGAATGTGGATTCCACTGCAATGACACTACCCATGTCTGATCCAACTGCATGGGCCACAGCAATGAATAATCTTGGAATGGCACCGCTGGGAATTGCCGGACAACCAATTTTACCTGGTATGCTATTTTTAATCACCTCACAAGTGTTTCTTTTTACTGACCATATGGACATAAATATAACAGTATGACACAACTTATTTTGAAGTTGACATTTATCAGATTCTGCCTAGAGTGTGCATTTTTGTAATATGAGCTTTATAGGCTGGGTGGCCTGTAGTTACTAGTATAGTCCCTATTGCACTATGGGCAAGCTGGGGGTATATCTGATGCAGGATATGGTCACTGAATATTTAACTCATTGCAATAAAAGTACAGCAGGATTTGGCAAAGAATTACAAAGTTTGTCTAATTTTATACATTTCTTAGAGGAAGCAAATAAACATGGAGCTAGAATGAGAACTGACTTAGATATCCCAAAAACCTTAGGTTCCTAGAGGGAAGGACAGGAGATAGCGGGGAACATCCCAAAGACTATTGTTAACATTGAATAACTGTTCATATTTTTTAGAACAAAGTAACCTGTAAGAGAATGGGCATGGTATACTAACTCCATCTCCACTAAAGATAAAATCAGAAGAAAAATGCCATGTCATCTGAAGGGCTTAGTTTAGACACAGAAAAGCTTCCTGGACTATCAGAGCCATTAACCATAAAAATAGGTTTGTGAATGTGCCTTGGGCAACTCAAATTTTTTATCGCTCTGCATATGACCTTAAATGACCATGAAAGTATTGTGAGTATTGATTTGGGGGGTTACAAAGAAATTTTAGCAAGTAGGCAAATTTGCAAATATAAAATCATGAATAATGATATAAATGTTATAAAATAATTATAAATTTGATCAAAAAATGGGTTTATGAAGACATTAGGGAATTGCCATATCAGGAAGCCTGGGGTGCTTTTTAAACATCCTAAACATTAATCTCCCAGATTCACTTGTTATCCTACTTAAAAGCATGACAGGACCAAGACAATCTAGGCCAATCTAGGACCTTGCTACTCGAGTGTGGTCTGCATAACCTGGGAGCTGTTAAGAATCCCAGAATCTCAGGCCACAGCCCAGACCTACTGAATCAAAGCTGCATTTTAACATGATCCCCATGTGATTCATAAGCACATTAAAGTTGAGAAACAGATCTAGAGTGATGCCACTTAGGGTTGTTGTGAGAATTAAATTGTGCTTAGTAAAATTCCTGGCACATAGTTAGTGCTCAAAAATGTTGGCTATTAAAATACTTTAAAAATCATTATTAATATATTTCTCATAAACATTTCCAAAGGGCGTAATTTTTTTATTTCATTTTTCTTCATTATTTTATTATAATAGAATTTAAACTAAAATCTTATATATTATTTTATAGCTTTATATAGAGTGGTCCTGAATCACAATCACAATCACTCTAGACTATCTCTTATAGTCTAGAGTGACTAGATTATCTGATTTGGCTTAAATATTACCAATTTATGGAAGACTGAACCATATGGGTATATGTCCCAGAAAAAATCTTGAGGCCAGACCTACTCTGTTACTAAGAGGACTAAATGTTAGCTTAGATTATTTGTAAATTACCACATTTAAACATAACTCTATGCTCACAAAGTAATCTTCAGTGCTTTGCCACCCATCTATAATGTGGAACCAAAAAAGGCCTAACATTGGGAGTAAAAAATCATCCAGGCCATCGTTACAGGCCCAAAGCTGTGCTAGGGTCAATATCAGGCCTAGAAAATTGGGGTAGGTTTTCATAACAGTAGCTCAGAGGGCTATTTCTGCAGAGACAGTACCTTGCTTAGTACAGGCCTCAAAGACAAACTGCTCAGGCTAAATCCTGGCTCTGCCACTTGCTAGCTATGTGACCTTGAGCAAGTTACTTGACCTATCTGTACCTCAGTTTTCTCATCTGTGAAATGGGGATGGTTATAGTACCTACCTCATAGGATTGCTGTGAATGTTAAATAATATACTTAGCACAATGCTTGGTATATAATAAGCACTCAGTGAAGGTTAACTGGTGCCATTATTATTGCTATTAGTCATATTACATGTTATTTAAGATAAAGGAAATACTAACATACTTCCTTCAAATAGCTGCTAAGCTGCCATTTAGACTGAAAGTACTTGGGTACTAGGCAGCCAGTGTCAGCGCTAATCACATCCACCCCAACTAGACATTTGAAACCTCAAGAGTGATTTTAATTTCTACTTCAAGCCCCTTTGCCTCCCTCTTGTTTTCTTAAGGACTATGAAGAAATGGCTTCTCATGGTCCCCTTCAACCTTGTGACTCAGGGATCATTTAGCTATGCTCCAAGGAAAGTTACTTGGGTTTTTGGAAACCTGGTCTTAGAAATACTGATATTTAGTTCTCTTAAAAATAATAATAAATTTAAAAATAAAAAAAATACTCCTCCCCGATAAAAAAGGGCTTCCCTGGTGGTGCAGTGGTTGGGAGTCCACCTGCCGATGTAGGGGACACGGGTTCGTGCCCCGGTCCGGGAAGATCCCACGTGCCGCGGAGCGGCTGGGCCCGTGAGCCATGGCCGCTGAGCCTGCGCGTCTGGAGCCTGTGCTCCGCGGGAAAGGCCACAACAGTGAGAGGCCCGCGTACCGCAAAAAAAAAAAAAAAAAAAAAAAAAAGTATACAGGGCAATAGCACTAGGCTGAGACATACTTTGTAAAGCTATGTGTAAAATCACTTCAGTTGTATATGAAATGATTTTTCTCCTCTCCATATTATTTTAGGGAAGCAATTTACTCATCAGATTAGAACGTGGGTTCTGGATATAGACTGCCTGGGTTCAAATAAATCCCTGCTCTGACATTAAGTAGCTGTGTAACCTTTGGCAATTTACTTAACCTCTCTATGCCTCAGTTTCTTCATCTGTAAAACAGAGATAATAATAGCACCTATGACATAGCATTGTTATGAGGATTAATGAGTTAATACATGTAAAGTCTTAGAATGATGCCTGACTCACAGTAATTCCTCAGTGAACTCAGCTATGATTATTAGTATTTCAAGTTCACATCTGATATATGGCTCACAAAAAGTTGAATTATGGCTTATTTCTATTCTTAACAACAATGAAGTATAATGAATGCAGGGACAAATTTTTCCCTGGAGAAGAACTGGACAATGGCAGGTGAAGAGAACAGTGTGTGTCTGACAATGCTGGTGACTGCTCCCTGTAATTCTGGTGGGGGGTGTCCAGAGAAGCAGAAAGTTGGCTCCACACGCCAATGCTGCTTACCCTTCTTCTTGCTAGAGTCTGGGAAACAGGGGGCCTGCCACCTTTTTATGTAATGTTTTAACTGAATGGGATAAAACATCCCCCTAATCCTCTTCCTACTGCCCCAAATTCCTTAAAATGGAAAAGGAAGCAAAGGAGCCACATGAAACTCTTTCCTGAGGTCACCCATTGATGGCTTAGTAATTTAGCTACTTTTCTGCCCCTTAGAAGGTTTCCTTCTTAGCCGGCAGAGTTTTTCTTTGTCCTGTCTCATCTGGCCTATCTGTGACAACAGAAAAGGCTTTTGGCATTGATGAAAAACAAATGATACATAAGCTTCCTTGACTTCCCCCAGAGAGCTCAAATCCATACTGTCATGGATGCTGAATCTCTTAGACACATACTTGTCATCTGGGCAGTGTCTAGCTTATTATATTCCTTGAGCATGGAGCAGAAACTGGCCATCTCTGGGGTTTGGTGTAGAGCTCCCTTTCATCTAACATGGTGTTTTTTGTACAGCTGCTGTTCAATAAAGTTAATCCACAGTGATGGCAGATTTGAAGGTCCCCTCTGGCCAGCACCTGTCTTTCCCGAAAGATTATTTGCTTCTCCAAGCTCGTCAAATAAGACTAATGTTAGTTTTCACATGAAGGGAGGCACCAAAAAGAGTCAGGCCGCCTTTGGAGCATTGTTCTGCCCATCATCCCAGATGAATCCAAGAATGGACCGATTAAAGGGTACTCAGTGAATACTGTGTGCTGCTTCCTTTACTTTCCCCTAAATTAAAATATCCTTAGCATCCAAGTGTGGAGCCTGTGAAGTCCCAAAGAAGAAGTGTCCCTCATTATGGTGTCTCCACTGTATTGACTATGCCTCCTCCATAATGAGAGATGTTGGAAAATATGACTCATGGCCCTTATTCCCAGAGCAAGACGCTGCCCATCTATGAGAATTGTCATTCTTAAGGAGGCAGTTCTCACTGGATGCAGCTGGCAAAGTCTGATGAGAACAGAAAGAAAGAATGAAGATGTGTGACACATGATAGGCCACTGTTCTTCAAGCTCCTCAAGGAGGCCCAGACTTGGGTTTCTATTATTTTAATATCTTCCACAAATAGAATATGCTTTCAGTGGCAGATAATGTTGAGATCCTGAGAAAGGAGAGCACTGTTCATCATCATGGTGGACACTTCACCAAGAGCCGATAATATATAAACCACTGTACCAAATAGAACTAATGTCTCTCCAAATCAAGCTTGAATCCTACCAAGTGATGGGACTCTCAAGATTCCCCCATGGAAACTATTATGAAGAGTCCAGTAGAGTGAGATGGTTTATTTATTCATTCATACAAGGAATATTTACTGAGGCCTGCTGTAAGCAAGATACTGCGAGGAGCCCTGGGGATAAATCAGTGAACAAAAAAGAGAAAGATTCCTTCCCTCATAGTGACTAGAGTATTTTTAGAACCCCCATATTTTATCCCTAATAAAACCTGTTCTCATTCGAGCTGCCTCTTGACCCTCAACAACTCAAAGACTTCCTAAACATTTTGTTCCTTTGTGCTTTTATTCACCCATCCATGAATTTAAATATATTGAGCTAGGTCAAGGGGATACCAAATGGGCCTTCAAGCTCAGAATCCAGTGGCAGAGGCAGCAAAGTCCATATCACTACACTACAGTGTAGCAAGTGTCATAGTAGATACATGTAGAAAAGTATTGTTTTAGCCAGGGTAGGATGGAAGGGGTGCTAGGTGGGTAGTGGTGATCAGGGAAGGTTGACAGAAGTGGCAACATTTGAGCTCAGTGTCCAGGGATATATAAGAA